CTTGTTACTACAGAGCCTTGGAATTATCAAGTCCCATGATAAGGTCAAACGACAAAATCGACTCCGACAGTGGTAAAACCGAAAATATATTCTCGTTACATTTTCAGAATACAGTTTTGGGTATGAAACCGCTAATTCGTTATAGTCATAATAATAAAATGTTGAAATGGGTACTACCTCAAATGTAGATCCAATTCACCATCTAATGTGATGCGATTTACAATTACGATTTTGCGGCCCAGCATTTTTATAGCCAAAAGTAGCAAACTATGAAGTAGATGGTAGAACATTGAACAATAAAATAAGTAGAACGCCTGAATAAAGCGTAGAAACATTCCGTAAAGCAATTAAATGCGATTTTAGTTCAGAGATGATATTAAACACGACGATGGACATCCCATTAGCATGAGCTCGTAAACGACGTGACGTAATTAGAGATAAATCGTTCCCGACTTTACATGCCTGAAGGAAATTACTTCGTCTCTTAGTAGAAATTGTTGAATTTTTTTTAAATCGTATTCAGAACATAAGATTTCAACTATTAATTCTAAATTTGTAGTTGTTAGTTGATATATGGATGTAGCATACGCATGCATTAGGAAATCTTGAGTAACAAAATCATGCTATACAGACATAAACTTCTTCTTCATCAAAAATCAGCTTAAAATTTTAAGCTCCTAATTTTAATAAAGTAAGTTTTTCAATTAGATGCATTTTGCAGTGAGAAACTTTACGGAGAAGACTCAAACAATTCTATCCTGAAATATAAAATGAGAAACTCTTTTCATGTGTTTAAATGAGACCGAGGGATGAGAACGAAAAACGTCAGACTTTGTGATTTACGGAGTTGATTATACAGTCCGTATCGCAAAAGTATCCCGTAATAATTTTAGCTTTAATTCAACGAATGAAGACAGATGCTCGGAAAAAATATAAAATTTGATATCTTTATTGCTGCAATTATCTCCCAAAGTTAAAAAGAATACATGAAAGCTTCGTTAGGTGTTATCTTAATATCCGCTCAATGGTTAGAAGCTATGGGGTCGTCGCTCAAGGGGGAAGGAACAGTCCCCAGGGAAACCCCTCTGCCCAGAGAGAATCTCCCCATGTTTAAAAAAAAAGGAAATTATGATAATTTTTATACAAAATATTTACATAGATGCAACCGTTGTTAGGCGGGCATTTAGGTATCGCTGCGGCCCACAGGGGCAGTTTGACTGTATCTTTCTTCTTCGTTTTTATTTCTTCTTTCTTCTGTTTCGTTCTTCGCTTTTCATACTCTAGTGATCTGGTAATCTGGATAAAATATTATCCCATTATATAGGTACTTATATACGTTCCAAGTGAACTGACTATTCATAAGAAGTTATGTAAACGTGTTTATGAAGGACCATTATAATATCGTGTAATCAAACTCGTATTTTTTTAATTTACATAATTGCTGCTAAAGAGATATTTCTGATCCTGTACGCGTGAGTTCTATGCTGCATATTTCCATCCTGAAGCAGTTAGTGGATAAGGCTTCAATCTTGTGTCTGTAGGAGTCTCAATTTGTAATATCTTAAGGTTTTGTTAAGAATTTACTGCCAGGTGGGTATTCACCTACAGTTATAAAAATACTCCACACACGCACATTTCAGAGGATTCATGTATTCGGAGTACTCAATAAGAGTAATGGGCATTCACCTACAGCTACCTATAAAAATACTACACACATGCACATTCTGAAGGATTCATGTGTTCGGAATACTCAGAGTAATTGTTTGATGCTATCATTGCAGATATCATACATTTTGTGTCTCAAAGTTCGATGAAGAAATTTGTTTAAAGGTTCAACTATATTATGACCATTCTACGCAAACCTTGAACGTGTTTATTGACAAATTATGAACAATAGACGATAAGACCATGCTATCTTAATAAAATCAAGTTCAATTATCACCGACATTTTTAATAAATAATATTTTTTTAATCCTCATAATTTCATTGACTCATACAATGACCATGACATTGGACAGCTAAATAAAGACGATATTACGTACATATTTTTAAAGCTTCAAAATACGTCTACTGCGACAATAAATAATGATCACAGCGCTCTTTCCGCGGTATATTCAGATTTATGACTTTCGATGTTACTCTTTGACGAAATTGCTTTGTGAAAAAAATATTTCGGTTTAATAAATAATTTTACAATAATGTGAGATCGGTGAATACTATTGCCGTTGACGTTTATATACTTAAACATAACTAGAGGTCCCGCAGTAGTCGAAATTCGACTATAATTAATTGGAATTGTAAGTTTGCACACTATTATGATTTACTTCTATAATCACAAATTTCGCCAAGACTACACTATAAAAAATATTAACAAAGACAAACAATATTTAATCTATTCTCAATTTGACAACAGACGTCAAGAGCAAAAGCTTGACAATAAATAGTATGCATGCGTGTGTGCGTCAAATACATGGTATGTAGTGTGTGAAAAGTTTTCTTTATTGATTTAATGTATCTTTTATGCATTATTAAAAAAAAATATTAGCATTGTGCACTTCTTTTCTATATTCTCTATAAGGGTGGAAAATTTCATACTCCTCCGTCCGCGAAATTTTCGTAAAAAGGGATACAAAGTTTTTGCTTCACGTATTAATATATAAGATTATTAGTTTCGTGTTATTATCTAGTTATGACTTAAATCTTTGGTTGACATCTGTTAGCCGTAAACTGTATTTTATTTGTGTTTCAGATTAAATATCTATTTAAATGTGATTAATTTAAAGTTAATATTTTTATAAATTAGAGATTTTACTATCGTAAAACCTAATTTCATTAAGATGCGTAGCCATTCAGTTAAACTGAAATGCGGCATTAAATATTGTGACTCTTATATTGTTAAAGAAAAGCATGAAATTTTCAGAGGTTGTATTTAATAATATTATGTACCTACTAGTATTTTATGTATTACCTGTGTAAAAAGCTCGCCTGCTGTTCGATAGTCTCGCATCAGACAAGAACAAAGATCTCTCAGAACCTGACGCGAGATCTAAGTCTTCATAATTGTATAAATGCTGTTTCGCTATCCGCCCACAAAAATTACTGCTTCACGAAATAAACTTTCGGAACAGTAGTACCGGCCTTTAAGAACTCAAAATACACCTCAACACTTATAAAACTAGTAATTATAATAGTTAATTATAATGCATATAAACTGAGATATTTTGTAAATGATTATTACTACGAAGCTAATCAGACTAAGCTTTAAGCTATCAAACATCTCTTAAGGGGTATTCCAGCGTAAGGACATACTTGAGTTAGCAACGAATATCAGGCGATCGAGATAAAACACGCCGTGGGCGTATTTACGAGATATAATCTGAAATTAAAATTCTAACTAAAAATATTTTGGGAAACTCCCGCAAAAACTAGATTTGCAATCATAGGGTAGATGAACAAATGTAATTCATTTTTTATTATTTATTGCTTAGATGGGTGGACGAGCTCACAGCCCACTTGGTATTAAGTGGTTACAGGAGCCCATAGACACCACCCACCTTGAGACATAAGTTCTAAGGTCTCAGTATAGTTACAACGGCTGCCCCGCCCTTCAAACCGAAACGCATTACTGCTTCGCGGCAGAAATAGGCGGGGCGATGGTACCTACCCGTGCGGACTCACAAGAGGTCTTACCACCAGTAAAAATTCAATTTCATTTCAATTCAACCAATTATTTCAAAGACCTATTACGTTTGAATAGCATGTTTAGAGATAGTTTAAAAAAAGCCTTCTTAAAGTTTTCGCAGAGCTCTTAATAAATCACAAAGGTCTCAAGGATCCATTCAAGTGGGAAAGTAAAATGATGGAATTAAAATCATATTTAACGCAGGCTGAGTTCTGAAGAATAAATAAATAGCTTGTATTTTCAGGTACATAATTGATTAAATCGGATGTTATGGTGGCCATATCTTTAATTTTAGGGATTTTTTTTTAAATTCAATAGGAAACTGCAGCAAATTATTTCTTATTTGCTAAGGATACAGAGCCTAGTCGTTATCTTGATGGTGTTTGATTGGACCTCCATCAAAAATTTACGAGCTCAATCCACTTATAATACCGGCATGGCAGTTGTGGGTTTCTGTGGGGAAAAGGTAGTTCACTCTGTTACCTCTTTTAGTGACGTGGGGCATTAGCAGAAAGAAATACTATAAATGAGACCTTAGAACTTGTATCTCAAGGTGGGTGGCGCATTTACGTTGTTCCAGTTACCACTTAACACCAGGTGGGCTGTGAGCTCGTCCACACATCTAAGCAACAAAAAAAAAAAATGATCCACTGCCACGAGAAGTAGTTAAAAAAATTGGGATCTTAGTTGCGGCTGAAATATAAGCAGAATGTCCCAGTGACTGCCACTAAAGTAAAACACTGGTGTCGGTCTCTTTACGGCGACAGTCTTAAAGTCTCTAAAGCTATTCCATAAAGCACATTTAGTGATTAGAACAACATATATTTGCAAGATACCTATATGTTTGAGCAGATGAACGTCTGTCATTAAAAATACGGTCGATCACGAATTAATGACAAGAGCACAGCTAACCCGCTGCCTAGACTCTAAGCTATGTTCAAAAAATTTCGAAAAGTATCGTAGAGCGAATTTAAGTCCAGAGCCGGATTTTACATGATAAAAATAGGATCTGTAAACGCACTATGGATTAATGCGGTTGCAGGTATAAGGTATGAACTATGCTCTGGTGGCGAGCGATGCGTTTGTAAATAGCAGGTGATAGGAAATGTTTTCATTTGCGTATTACTTTCATGAAGAATTTCGAAAATTTTGTTTACTGCAAAAATAGTTTTGCTGGAACAAACTTGGCTTAGAACCAGCGACTAAACGAGAAACAAAAAGAATTGGAAAAAAACTATCCTTGAACAAAATTAGTTTGCACGTCAAAAAACATAATTTTTGTTATCAATGCTTACTGAAAACCTTTTCTTTGTTACAGTGATTGATAAGATGGAGACGGATAAAATGTCGACGGCCTCATCTGTAGGCGCTGAGAGACGACCTCTCCTGCAGGCGCTGGTGATTGAAAGGCGAATCCTTTTTGGCTGCACAGTATTCTCAGGACTGTGCACATTTTTATGGATAACTGCCGTCTGTACTTCAAAATGGGTTCACATAGATGCAGGAAACGGTAAGATTCCTAATGAGTACTTTATTGAATTTTAAGTTTTTACAACTACTGCTTACTAATATATTTTTAGTTGTTTGATTTTTATTTATTCACGAACTTATGGTTGTAATGCTTGGGGTTAATAACTGAAGCATGAGCTAATTGTAATTAATTCAGTTCGTATTTAGGGTGTGTTTTACTAATTTTATCATTTTAAGAAGTTTTATATTTTGGCATAAATAAATAAAGCGTTCCCGAACTCGAAACGTCAATTGTTTTAAAGTAAATTTATAAAGAAAAAACAGTTCAGCTATGTATTGTCTCCGCTGCTGGTGAACCGATTTTACTACTAATAATACCAGACATAAAATTATTTCGAATACCACGTTTCATGACAAATTATATTATGAGTAATAGCTCCCACAAATCATCAAATTAATTACGCCATTTACTGATACGGGCCGTGATCATGGAATTAACACGTCGTAAATTCAATTTGACACTCGAGTTGCTCCTACGAGTACAATTCAAAATTCGTTTTTAAAGTAATTAAAATAACATGAGATTAATCTAAAATATTTCACGTTTTATTTTTACAAATTTAATTAAAGTATGCTGAGGTTGTGTCGCCAGCGACAGTGAATTTTATATTCAAATTAGGAATGTCTTATTGTCGACATCAACGCAAACAATTTGACATCAATAACTCATTATGGCAGTTAGCTTCGTGCGATAAAATTTTTGCTAGTGTATAAAAATCTTCTATTAATATATAAACACACATTATGTTAAATGAAAGATAAAATGAAAAAAGGCAACGAAGTAATATCCTTTCAGGTCCAGTTTTCATTTTCTCATACTTGCGTAATTTCACAAATGCTAAACGTTTAATAACCTACTGTTATTAATTTTGTTACAACCCAAAGAAACGCTAAATAAATAAAATAAAACACATCTTCGCTCCTCGCATCGCCACCATTTATATCACTTAAAGCGACCTACATATATTTATTTGTTTCACTCATTTCTGAACTTAACGTAATCTAAATCAATCATCGCGGAATATTCAAAATTGAGAGAAATATTTACAAAAGTACTGATTTTTTTATTGATAGTTCTAAAGATACTAGAGCCCTAGTACTAAAGAATAGAGCTAAATCACTCAAGCCTTTTTTATTTATTGCTTAAGTGAGTAAATGAGATCACGGCCCAACTGACGTTAAGTGGTTACTGGAGCCCATATACATCTACAACGTAAATGCGGCGAAATGCCTACTTTGAGACATGAATTCTAAGGTCTCAGTTTTTGCTGTACGACGGCTGCCCCACCCTTCAAGCCCAAACGCATTACTGCTTCACGGCAGAAATAGACGGGGTGGTGGTACCTATCCGTGCGGACTCACAAGATGTCATACCTCCAGCCTATTTGGAGTTGCATTTTTTTTAAATAATAACCAATTCAAAATAATCGAGCAAAGCTCTAGAACCCTAAAAACTTACTGTTACTTATCTACTTGTTAACTACAATACAATCGCTAGACTAACATGTAAAAAAAAATTTGAAAAAAGAATATTATTATTATTATCACAGGTATATCACGGCACTCAAACGGGCAGTGATAAAAATCTGCTAGTATCGATTGAGCTTAATATTTATTGGCATGTCAAATAAATGTCATAACAGTGAGCGCGCACGATAACACATGGTGCTCTGTTTATTTTAAGTACATTGAATGATTTATGCGTATCAACGAAATGTAACATATGCGCTATAATTATATTTGGAACGTATTCCAAAATTAAAAAGGTTCTTTATCGTTTGTTTCATTCTGAAATTTCAATAGAAGCTAGACAGCCTTTGAAGTTAATACTCGTTTAGTTAATATTATAATAATGTTACGTTGCCACGATAATCTTCGAGAATCATTGTCAGTTCTTGAACTACCGACATACTTTGTAACTTTTTACTTGAGCTTTCACGAACATGAGTGACAGAAAGGTCAGCTAGTCGTTAATCGAGTTTTTACATAGCTCATTAGTGCCATAGCTAGGGTTGCCAGATTTTAGTTCAGCCTATAAGGGTCAAATGCATAAATAAGCAAAAAAATATACGGCAATCTAGCTTTTTACCCGGGACAAATAAAAACAAAATGATGTAGTAACATTCTTTACTTTGTTTTGATATTTCTCTGAGGAGCGAGACAGTTTTAACATATTTATAAAAATCAATACAATTATTTAATCGTATGGTTCGAATACGGGACAGAATCAGTCCCGCCGGGACGTTTTAAACTAAACCTAAAATACGGGACGTCCCAGGAAACACGGGACGTGTTGCAACCGTAGCCACTACTTACCTATATTTTTCATTATTTGCTCTCATTACAAATTTACCGCCTGTCACCCGATTACTATACCAAAATGTGTTGAATTAAGAAATATATTACTATATTGAGAACGCCTAACAGGGTCAATGGTCGCTTGCCTATTTCTGTTTCGTGTAACACGCGTTCAGTACACACGTGCAAACATAGAGACAGTGCATTGTAATGCATTGTTTTATTTGAATGTATGCCAGGACGGGATCACGATGCCTTTATTTTGAGAACGAGGTTCACATCGATGTGCTTCGTCGTACATGATATTTTGTACGTGCTCCACGGAAGATGGGATATACGCGTTTTCATTTACCGAATAGAGAAGGGGGGTTGCCATAAGAGACTATATCGGTCTATGATAAGAGATAATACTTATCTTTATTGTCAAAATAATACGACACAATTTAGTTTAAAGCATGTTTGATTAATTCATGGACTTAATCTAAAATCATTAATTTAAACCAGGCTAAGGAATCATGTTGAACCTGGTGTTAGGTGGCCAATAGGAAGCCAATAAAATATCGAGCACGAGTGTCGCTATACAGCTTAAAATATAAGTCCTAACCTTCAATCAAATCGTATAATAGCTGCCCCACCCTTCAAGCCGGACTGTTTTGGGGCTGGAGTAGGCTGAACACCACAATCTACCTTTGTCAACCACTAGTAGAATAGTTTGTGACCAAATAGTAAAGTAGTGCTGGTGGGTAGAACGCCAGCCAGATATTCAGATCTGGTTAAGAAAGCGGTTGGTGGTGGTCTATATAATGCGGTCCATGCCACCCATGACCGAACACTGTGGGGGAAAGTCACATGTGGTCGCGATCCTCAGCATTGAGGGAACGATGGAGAAGAAGAAGTAAAGTTTAAAGAAAGCTGTGCACTAGTACAAGTGGTATTATCTTAAGTCAAGCAACTGCCTACATTGATATAAGGAACTACAGGAAATTTATTAATACTGTATAAACTATTATATATATGTATGTTGTATATATGTATGTATATGTGATTTTGTATATATGTAGATATACTTTTTTTGTATGTATTCGTGACCTAATATAAATTTCATTGCACCTACCACTATTTACTCTGCACTACCTTTGGTTGACTGGTAGAGAATGCCTTAGGCATTAAGTCCGCCATTGTAAATTTTACATGAAGTGTAATAAATAAATAAATAAATAAATAAAAATATAAGATACTTGTATTGCTATAGACTGTTATGACCATTAACAGTAGTAAACTATTAATCGGCGACAGCTGGGCGTAAATCAGTATTTTTTATGTTTCATTATTTAATGTAGTTACATTTTTTGTGGGTAGTTTTGACATTAAACAAAACAGTGGCCAAATAAATATGGGGAAACTACAAAATCCACAATCATGTCTAGGTAGAACGATCTCAACCTATTTGAGAAAGCTGGTATATAGATGACGAAAGAAAACGAAGACTGAAAGATAAACAGAGATATAAGAAATAACATTTAAAGACTTTATATTGTTGTATTCAGATAATAATTTGAAATACTATGTACTACACACCCAAGCGTGATTATTTAAAAAGACCCAAAGTGAAGGCTTTTGAAATGCAACCTTTCTTTCGCAAGAGATGTATTTTTTCCAAATGAAATGTCTACATAAGCCCTTTATAGTTACTGAAAATTATTTACAAAGCTATCGTATAACCCGTGGATGTACGATAGAAAATCCTGTTGTTTACTATAGAGAATACAATATATAAGTTGAACAATGTAACGTTTAGTATTAGTGTTTGCTCAATTATCGAAATTCGACAACAGTTACTCAAACTTCAAGATAATAAATCTTATTAATTGTATTTGCTACATTCTCTCTTTTTTATTTTGTTATTTACATTACAAAAACTGTTTATTTCCAAACTTTTTTGTGGGTAACTAAACCTCGTCAGTAGCTACTAAGCATTAAAATGCGGAGGACAAACACAAGAGAGAAAGCGTACTTAACTATTTTGTTTTCTTTTAGAAAGAATAAACATATTCCGAAGATTACAAGAAAGCTCATTAATATACTGTCATTGGAGTCATTTGGAAGGTAAAGCCAAATTGGCCTCTAAAATGTTGGGAGTTCTCAACAGAGCGAAGCGGTATTTCACGCCTGGACAGAGACTTGCGCTTTACAAAGCGCAGGCCCGACCTCGCGTGGAGTACTGCTCTTACCTCTGGGCCCGGGCTCCCAAATACCAGCTACGTCCATTTGACTCCATACAGAAACGGGCTGTTCGGATGGTCGATAATCCTGCTCTTGCGGATCGCTTGGAACCTCTGGGTCTACGAAGGGACTTCGGTTCTCTCTATGTTTTATACCGTATGGTCCATGGGGAATGCTCTGAGGAATTATTCGAGATGATTCCCTCATCTCCTTTTTATTATCGCACCTCCCGCCATCGGAGTAGAGTTCATCCATATTATCTGGAACCGCTGCGTTCATCGACAGTGCGTTTCCAAAGATCTTTTTTGCCACGTACCATCCGGCTTTGGAATGAACTCCCCTCCACGGTGTTTTCCGAGCGCTATGACCTTCTTCAAACGAGGCTTGCGGAGAGTACTTTATGGTAGGCAGCGGCTTGGCTCTGCCCCTGGCATTACTGACGTCCATGAGCGACGGTGA